TTCTTGTTGAAGCAGAGGACCGTTTTTGAGCGTGCCCTTGCGATCCTGCATGGTCCCAGTACGATTGGCGACGATGACTTTTCAGGAGATTCTTTAGCGTCGTGTATATGAAGTGCCGAAAGCACACAAAGTCAAAGTCAAATTTCGCGTTCCTATTGAAGCAGAGGACTGATTTAGAGCGTGCCCTTGCGATCCCGCATAGTCCCAGTGCGATTGGCGACGATGACTTTCGAGGAGATTCTTTAGCGTCGTGCTATTCGAAGTGCCGAAAGCACAGAAAGTCAAAGTCGAATTTCGCGTTCCTTTTAAAGCAGAACACCGATTTAGAGCGTGCCCTTGCGATCCCGCATGGTCCCAGTGCGATTGGCGACGATGACTTTTGAGGAGATTCTTTAGCGTCGTGCTATGTAAAGTGCTGAAAGCACACAAAGTAAAATTCGAATTTCGCGTTCCTTTTGAAGCAGAACACCGATTTAGAGCGTGCCCTTGCGGTCTCGCATCGTCCCAGTGCGATTGACGACGATGACACTTGAGGAGATTCTTTAGCGTCGTGCTTCGTGAAGTGCCGATAGCACCCAGAGTCAAAGTCGAATTTCGCGTTCCTCTTGAAGCAGAGGACCGATTTAGAGCGTGCCCCTGCGATCCCGCATAGTCCCAGTGCGATTGGCGACGATGACCTTCGAGGAGATTCTTTAGCGTCGTGCTATTCAAAGTGCCGAAAGCACAAAAAGTCAAAGTCGAATTTCGCTTTTCCTTTTGAAGCAGAACACCGATTTTGAGCGTGCCCTTGCGGTCTCGTATAGTCCCAGTGCGATTGGCGACGATGACACTTGAGGAGATTCTTTAGCGTCGAGCTACGTGAAGTGCCGATAGCACCCAAAGTCAAAGTCGAATTTTGCGTTCCTTTTGAAGCAGAGGACCGATTTAGAGCGTGCCCTTGCGATCCCGCATAGCCCCAAGTGCGATTGGCGACGATGACTTTCGAGGAGATTCTTGAGCGTCGTGCTATTAAAAGTGCCAAAAGCAAAAAAAGTCAAAGTCGAATTTCGCGTTCCTTTTGAAGCAGAACACCGATTTTGAGCGTGCCCTTGCGGTTTCGCATTGTCCCAGTGCGATTGGCGACGATGACACTTGAGGAAATTCTTTAGCGTCGAGCTACGTGAAGTGCCGATAGCACCTAAAGTCAAAGTCGAATTTCGCGTTCCTGTTGAAGCAGAGGACCGATTTAGAGCGTGCCCTTGCGACAGGGATGGGCAAGGTACTCTCGGGTGAGTACCTAGGTACTGTACCGGTACTATTGAAAAATCTTTACCTAGGTACTGTATTCGGTACTGGAACGAGTCTACTACCTAGGTACTTTACCGGTACTCCCAAAAGTACCTAGGTACTTTTTAGGTACTTCTCACAACGCAATTTTTTTTTTTTTCCCCCGTCTAACCATACATTTAAAACTAATGTCAGCATGATGAAGGTAATTTCGAGTACAAGAGAGAATTAGATGTACACTTGGAACATAATATATTTAATTTTACTACTTAAGTTTGTTACAAAACGCTAAGAAATAGTTAACAATAACACTGACAAAATATACAAAAATATACAAAATATAAAATTTTGAGCTATACAATAATGAAATAAACCCCGCAAAGATACAAGAGAAGATTAAAAGTACATACTTAAAACGTCGTAACACACAGAAATAACGAAAATAAAGATTAGAAATTTCTATTTACATAAGCAGTTCTTGGTTGACCCCCAAAAATACTAAATTATCAAATAGCTTGTCAGCCAACCGCGTCCGACGCGGATTTAGCACGAGACCGGCGTGACTAAATAGCCGCTCCACAGCCGCGCTTGCTGGCAGACAAGTATTTGATCTAATAAACAAATCTTTCAGATATTTACAGTTTTTTATAAAGTCCTCGGTGACAATTGGTTCAGCAAGGAACCGATCCAGCTCCTCTGCTGGTCCATTCATGGGCTGTGGCCTGTGTGGAGCCAGAAAGCTAAAAGAAAACAAAAAGTGTTAAAATACGATTGATTTTTAAGTTCAAATTTTCATGGAGTTTGAAACTTTTTAATTACCTGAACAATTGCCGCACCACGGTGTTGTCCGTGTCCATAGTCTCGGGGTCATCGGGAATTTCACCTTCACTCTCGAGCTCCCCGGTCGCCTCTGTTGCTTCCGCGAGGTCTGCAATGGCCTCGTGAAGCCAAGCCCGCGCCTCATACACCTTGTTGTCCCCTTCTTCAACTGTGCCCCGAATCCAGTCAAGGCGGAACATCGGCACAAGGCAGGCCGCCACGACCAATTCTCGGTTCCAGAGCTGATCCTTGAACCTAAAATAAAACGAACGCGTTAGTGGGTCCCTTTATGTTGCGTGCGCTCACACGGTGACGTCACCCAACTTACCTCTTCTTGATGCTGCTGATGAGGGTGTCCACGAGGGGCTGGCAGTGGCGCAACCCGTTCATGGCCCGATATCTCCCCCGCGGTTGTGCACCCCGGGGCAGGGGGAGCCCGGAGGGGACACTGTTTCCTCGGCCCGAAGTAAGTCTATAGTGTTGGCAAGGGGCTCCATCATCTGAAAAAAATGAAAACGCGTTTTACAGTCATGTTCTTACACACACTCACACACACACACACACACACACACACCAACGATGCAATTAAATGAAGTTCACTTACCGCCACATACTCCTTGAGGAACTGAACCTCCTGCACGGTCAAGGGCTCAACCTGAAGTTGCGTGCAGACTGCGCGCATGGCCGCCCGTCGTTGATCGTCATAATGAAATAGGACTTCCTTCATCGCATCATACATGGAGTTCCATCTTGTGGCGTTTGGTACCGGTAGCACCTTGCCCAGCTGGGCCTCCACAACATCCCGCGCATTGGTGCTTCTCCTCTGCTTGGACCAAAATGCTTGGCACTTGGTCAGCACGTTGGTCCAAGAAGTCTTGACGGGGCCTGGCTTCGCAAGGGCGTCCTCCAAGTCCTTGGAGGCCACCAGATTCAGAGTGTGGCAGGCACACCGCCGATGGGGAGGAAGGAGAAGCTCGTTACCTTGCTCCCCTTTGTCGATCATGTCTCCCAATGGCAAAAGCTCCAACTCGTCGTCATTCCCGTCTTCCGTTTCATCTAGTTCCTCATCATCGTCCGCATCACCACCAGCGCTGAACTCCCTGGAAAAATTTTAAATAATAAGAAATTTTCATACGGTCACAGTTTTAATATTTAAAAATACAATTTTATTTTTCTTTACCTGAATGCCTTGCAAAAGTTTGACCCATTGTCGGTCACGGTTGAGGAAATCCGGTGCTGTATCTTGAACTCCGCGAAAATGTCACAGAGTTCCTCGGCGATCACCTCAAAAGTTTGGCTGCCCTTGATCCGCCGGCACGCAAGGGCAGCACATTTCCTCTGGAGGGTTTCTGTGTCCAGCCAGTGCGCTGTCACACCAAGATAGCCCCTAAAAAACAAAATCAACATTATTTCGCTCAAATTTAGATCTAGGAAAGATTCGATTAATAAACCAGACACTCACTTTCCCCGGCATTTCCAGGCGTCGGCCGTCGTGCCGACAGTTTTGGCACGCGCCAATTCTTTTATTAAGTCCTCCTTTGTAGTTTCGTACAGAGGACCGACGCGATTACTCGCTGTCTTCCGGCCGAACACGGTCCGGCCGGGCGCCAACCTCTTGATTAACTTTCGAAACCTGGGTCTCTCTACAAGCTGGAATGGCAGCTTGCTTTCTATTATCATATCCAGCAGCAGCTTGTCCAGCTCCTCCTGGCTCAGCGTACTAACGCGCCCGGGCTTCAGCAAGGCTCGGATGTCCTGGGTTTCGTTGCTGCACTTTGTCGCCGGCCGTTTGGGAGTGCGTTCCAAATCCACGAGCCTCTGAGGATGCGCACTCTAAGAAAAAAGGCAAAAAATTAAAGTGCCATTACGCACTAACCGAACCACCCCGATGCAAACCAGCGCACGCCACGCCCCCCTGCCCTGGTCTCGCCGCGCCCCCTTGGCCCCCCCCTTGCCCCACGCGGCAGCGAGCGTCACTGCAGACTGATTCCGAGAGTCGTTTTCGTCGCTCTTTCTCTCTCGCACTCGTGCAGTGCAGCGTCCCGTAGGTGCGAGAGAGACAGCGCAGAGCGCAACAAGATCGACTCTCGGAATCAGTCTGCTGAGGCACCGTAGCGAGCTGTCGTAAGGGTGGCCTACCCCAGCAGCGGGTAGGCGCTCAGCACGAATCCGGCGAGCGCGCGCTCGTAGGCAAGGCAACTGCGTGGAGTGCTGCCTAATTGCACGGCGGACGGCCGTGGTACTCGGTCGTCGTCCTCCCCCCAGACCCAACCCCAGCCCGCCTCCCGCCTCCTCGCCACCAGCCCCCGCACCTGCACAATGGCGCGCTCGCTTGGCCCTCAGGCCCGGGCCTTGGTCGGCCGGCCTGGTTACAGTTCAAGCCTTATTCAAATTCACGCGTTCACTCAGCGTGCACCCCAAAAATACGAATAGTTCATAAGCGGCCAGCTTTTAATTGAATCAACACGGTTGCCGCGGAAACGCTTTGGCGGCATAAGCGCGCCAAAACCGACTTCACTAATCAGACGTCAATTTTTAAATAATAAAAAAGTAAAAATTACTCACCCGCAAGTGTTTTTTCAAGTTGCCGTTGCTGTTGACTTGCGCCTTATAAGGCTTCTTGCATAGTTTGCATTTGACCACGAAGTTGATGGTCTTCTCAGGTATTGGTTCATCGCGCACAAAGAAAGTTTGGTACTGCACCCACGGCACGTAATTCACAGCCTCGGATTCACCTGCTTGAGTGGTGGCCATGGTACAAAGAGAGCGAGCACAGGTAGGCTCAGGTAACCACCAGGGTGGGGTGGGTGCTGCGCGGGGCACCCAGGTGGCCAGGTAGAGTGCCGGGCTCGAAGGCGGGCAGCCGGCTTGATTCCGTCACAATAGGGCACCTCGCAGTCGCGTCAGGGGCAATCACACCAGTTCACAGTTCAATCACAGCACTCACTTTTACTATCACGATATCACAGGGTTAATTACAAACACCGCGACGCGGACGGCAGACGACGTGGCGCGGCGCGAACTTGCTTGCAGCACGGAGGGATGCACTCAGACTGAGGCCCCCTGCCGGCTGGCCAGCACGCGCGCGGGGCGCGGGGTGCGGTGGGGGCGTGCGGGGCGCGTTGCTAGGAGGACAAGTGGCGGGACTTTTTCGCGCCGCTGGATTTCATTGGTTGAGTCTCATCACGTGGCATAGGTCTCCAGAATTCCTATCCCCACTTCCTCAGCTTTCTTGCGCCAGCGAGCGTCAACAAGTGCAAGTTTACAACCCCAATTCGTTACGGAGTTGCCCCCGCCCCTCCTCTCCACCCGCCCGCCCGACCCGAGCCCCGTTGTCCCTTGAGCAGATGACCGGGGACCGTCTCGAGATCGGCGCGTTGCCCTGCCGCTGCGCTGCATCAGGAATAGGGAGGCATGAGACATTTAGGGACTAGCCCCGGGAGCCCCGGGGAGCCCGGCTAGCCCGGCCCGGGCGGACAGCAGGCTGCTTCCGAGCACCGCTCTCAGCGCTCCGTCTCTCACGCACTCATGGGGCATCCCTTAACGGAGCGAGAGAGACAGCGTCGAAAGCAGTGCTCGGAATCAGCCGGCAGGCACGGACTCGCTTGGAGACCAGATGACTGTATAGTGGCCACCTCCACATTCTTCTTGGAGGCAGGCGAGAGGAGGGGGTGAAGAGGGGAGTGAGGGAACCAAAACAGAAGTTGGCAACCCCAGCGAGTGCTCAGCTGAGGTGCAGGGCCACGCCACGACCTTGCAACGGAGGAGGAGAGGGGACAGGGCGGGGAAGCGAGGGAAACCTCTTCCACGAATTTGTTCCTCCGAATCTCCCGCTCTGGTCCTCTCGTGCCAACCGTCCTCCGGTCAGTTAAAGAACCGTGTTTACCGAAAAGTACCGAAATTTTTCGGTACCGGTACTCGCAGTCCAGTACCTAGGTACTGTAAACGGTAAAATAGTGATCTGAGTACCTAGGTACTGTACTGTACCGAAAAAAGTACCTAGGTACAGTACCTAGGTACTTTTACCTAGGTACTGCCCATCCCTGCCTTGCGATCCCGCATGGTCCCAGTACGATTGGCGACGATGACTTTCGAGGAGATTCTTTAGCGTCGTGCTATTCAAAGTGCCGAAAGCACACAAAGTCAAAGTCGAATTTCGCGTTCCTTTTAAAACAGAACACCGATTTTGAGCGTGCCCTTGCGGTCTCGCATAGTCCCAGTGCGATTGGCGACGATGACACTTGAGGAGATTCTTTAGCGTCGTGCTACGTGAAGTGCCGATAGCACCCAGAGTCAAAGTCGAATTTCGCGTTCCTGTTGAAGCAGAGGACCGATTTAGAGCGTGCTCTTGCGATCCCGCATAGTCCCAGTGCGATTGGCGACGATGACCTTCGAGGAGATTCTTTAGCGTCGTGCTATTCGAAGTGCCGAAAGCACACATAGTCAAAGTCGAATTTCGCGTTCCTTTTGAAGCAGAACACCGATTTAGAGCGTGCCCTTGCGGTTTTGCATAGTCCCAGTGCGATTGGCGACGATGACTTTCGAGGAGATTCTTTAGCGTCGTGCTGTTCGAAGTGCCGAAAGCACACAAAGTTAAAGTCGACATTTGCGTTGCTTTTGAACTAGAGGACTGATTTAGACGGTGCCCTTGCGATCCCGCATAGTCCCAGTGCGATTGGCGACGGTGACTTTTTAGGAGATTCTTTAGCGTCGTGCTATGTGAAGTGCCGAAAGCACATAAAGTCAAAGTCGAATTTCGCGTTCCTTTTGAAGCAGAACACCGATTTTGAGCGTGCCCTTGCGGTCTCGTATAGTCCCAGTGCGATTGGCGACGATGACACTTGAGGAGATTCTTTAGCGTCGAGCTACGTGAAGTGCCGATAGCACCCAAAGTCAAAGTCGAATTTCGCGTTCCGTTTGAAGCAGAGGACCGACTTTGAGCGTGCCCTTGCGATCCCGCATAGTCCAAGTGCGATTGGCGACGATGACTTTCGAGGAGATTCTTGAGCGTCGTGCTATTCAAAGTGCCGAAAGCACAAAAAGTCAAAGTCGAATTTCGCGTTCCTTTTGAAGCAGAACACCGATTTTGAGCGTGCCCTTGCGGTTTCGCATTGTCCCAGTGCGATTGGCGACGATGACACTTGAGGAGATTCTTTAGCGTCGAGCTACGTGAAGTGCCGATAGCACCCAAAGTCAAAGTCGAATTTCGCGTTCTTGTTGAAGCATAGGACCGATTTAGAGCGTGCTCTTGCGATCCCGCATGGTCCCAGTACGATTGGCGACGATGACTTTTCAGGAGATTCTTTAGCGTCGTGCTATATGAAGTGCCGAAAGCACACAAAGTCAAAGTCAAATTTCGCGTTCCTATTGAAGCAGAACACCGATTTTGAGCGTGCCCTTGCGGTTTCGCA